AAAACTTCAGTAGGAGAGGGGAAGTAATGCCTGAGAAGGGAGAAACACCCCATAGCCCAACTTTGCCACTAAGGAAGTCTGCTCCCTCTGGAAGACAGTTTAATGCTTTATTGGTGTTAATTGTGGGAATTAATGGGCACCATATATCTTGGTGCAGTACTCAGCCTCCCTGAGGTGCAGATCTGTTGTTAGTGGTGTTTTGTGTGCCTCTGCATTAAAATGGCATTAATAAAATGCCACCTTCCACACAGAAGTTTGGAACTTCACAACCTGTAAGTGGCATTTTACTCAGAGAGATTTTACTCAAGTATCAAACACATACAGAGACATACAACGTTCAAAACAATAAGGACAGAAAAGATGAGAGCCACAGTGTGCTTTTGTTCTCTACTTTCATAGATGGGTAAAAGTGCAAAAAGAAGAACCAAAAACCTCTTTCTCAGTCATTCCCCTCAATTTCTCTGATGGAAGAAGTCTGTTTGGATATCCAAGCCTCATATTACCACAATAAGATCAAAACTTTTAGTGCAAAATTGAACGTACTCCTCACTTGTTTTAAAAAGCAAGCAGCAGGCCTTGTTTCAGGTGAGCAATTAAGCCAAGCAAATAAAGAACTGGTTTGTCACTCCAGGGACCAGCAGGTCACTTTTCTGCCCTCTCACAGGCTCTAGGGCTGCTTAAATCCCTTCTCCTCCCTCTGCTTTGGTCTCCCTCTTTGCAGTCAGGAGCAGAGCCAACACTAAGCCCGGGCAATTCATCAGGGCCCCTTGCTTGAGCAACCACTTAACAGGGGAAAGGATGCATTTCTTTTTTGAGCTTTGAAAATGGTACTAAAAAGAACTGTTTCAGTGCCTGCGCATAAGTAGTATTTTAAAATGAGGTAAATTATTTGATAATTTTAAGGAAGATAAAATTTTTCTTTCATTTTCACAACTTCCTACAAATGCTTTTTTTCTGATGTATGCTCTGCATTGATTTTGCAGAGGATGTGTAATTGCAAGACTTGTTTCTGAAGGAGGAAAATGAAACTTTTTATAGCATTTTCAAGCTACTCATAAAAGTACAGTATTTAAGCTAGGCCTAATTTATTGGGTTTACTGGAAGTATTGCTATTGTTATAAGGTTCTGAAATTAAAGGTAGCCCATCTCAGGCTGGAAAACCTGTGGAGATCCTCAGCATTAACAGTAATTTTCTTCTTCATTTTCTTTGACTACAGAACTCAGAATGTCTGTTCTCAGTCCTCCAACATAAGGTAGGAGTATCTCCTAAATGCAAAGCAGCAGAAAAAGAGAATGAGAAAAAAAGTTCGATTCCCATTTTGTCCAATACCTTTCTCCTATCCCTTTAACATTTTCCTTTGACCCTGGACCTCTTTTTCTTAAAAAACTCCCATCTTTCTGCGTACTTCTTGTTAGCTCGTGATTGTAGCCTGACTGTAGGGCACGACCGGTGAATCATAACAGCAAATGTCAGCAGGAAAAGATCTCCAGTAGCCCATTAGCTGTTTGAGCTCATCTTTATTATTTACTGAATGACCGTGAATAATGAACAAGTTGCTCTAAATGATTACAGATTTGTGGCTAAATCTCTATTAAAAAGGGAAAATCAGTTGAAGCAATTACAGAATGTATTTACAAGGAAAAAATTCCCTTTGTCTCATTAATATTACATGTAGTAGATGTAGCAACAGTGAGAGAAATAGAGGTAATTGGTGCAAATTGATTAGGGATGCAAAAAATGAAAACTCTGAAATTACAGAGAAGTGAAAAAAATTCTCTCCAAATGCTTCCATGGAGATATCTGCCCTAGTCTCTGTGGGTTAGACTTATATGAAAATCAGTGAGTTGCAGTGTTGGAGATTTTTACCCAAGTTGCGTTTACAGTCAGTATTTAGAGTTAAATTAAGTTAGGTAAATCCCATCCTAGCTAAATACAGCTAATCTTTTGACTGCAAAGCCTAATTTGTGCTTGGGTTTGGGCCTAATTTTTTTCTGAGGAAACTGGATCAGGTCAGGAGTGCCACTGGTGCAAAAGTCTGCAACTTTAGGCATGTCCTCCTCAATGTAAATGATAATTCCGTAGCTATCATATAAATGGACAGAGAAATCACAAACTGTACAATTGAAGGAAAATACCAGCTCCTAGTACACAGATTGTGTAGCAAACAACAAAAGGAACCTATCCTAAAATAGGAAAGTATCCAAATATTTTTCTCTTGACTTTGTGGAGCACATGTGGTGACGCCTCTTCATGCATTTACTTGAGCAGTTCTCTAAATCAGATTCCATCTTAGGGTAGTCTGGAAGATTATGTAAGAGCAAATTGTGGTTTTATCTTTCCTGCTTAAAAAAGGAATGTGATATCAGAAGTCATGTTATCAGGCACTATCCAAAGCCTTATACCTGTTAAAATGTCATGTTCAGCATCATATATAACTAGCTCTAATTATCTTCTCTCATTGCACAATCAAAGGTTCTCCAAATTAATATGGCTATTTGAGTATTTTTAGGCAAGAGCCTATTAATGCTGGGGGGTTTTTTAACAAAAACATGCTATAACTAAAGCTCATGATGGAAGTAATTTGTAATATTCAATGACCTCATTTTATTCTGTTTTGCTCACTCAATGCTAATGCATATGATGCCATGTGAAATTCGCAGACAAGCCTGTCTGCAGGACTCATGGGAGCCATAAATGGATTAAACCTCTCACTCCCTACTTTGGCAAGTGATCAGTTACATTTAAATAAAGGTCAGTCTGTCTTTACAAAGAACACACTGAAAGCAAGCTTAATAGCTTTCCCTACTGAGCCTAGAACACAACTATTTGAAGAATAATTAGCAACGGGGTGCCAGTCACTGATTGTGCTTTTTGCTTGATTTTATGTCTGGGGAGTTCCAGTATTCCCTATTAGCTTTAAGAGGGGGCACAGTGCTAGTTATCAAATTGACAGTCTTGACCTGGCCTCTGAAAGCAGCTGTAAAACACTGTTGGGGAAAATTAAGATGAATGCCAAAGCCAGGTCTGTAATACTGCTACAAATTGGACATTTGAGGTCCATGCCACTACTCTAAATAACAAAATAGGCAAAATATCTGATATACATGAGAGTGTGGATGGACTTCATTACACTAAACACCAGGTGATAAGGAGGTACACCAGCTGTCCTCTTGTCTCATCTTATGAGCCCTGTATTGTGACTTCTTTATAAAATACTCCATATCTATTCTTTTCAGCATAACAGAGTGACCAGCTCTGCCATCTGTCAAAATACAGATTTCAAGAAGGGTGGAGTGAATCAGCAACAACTGCCCCTACAGTAAAAGGTGCTGACCACAAAAGGGTTATTTTGTCAAGTTAATTAAATATTTAGCCTGTATGAGGCATATGAGAATAAACATGGTTATAGACTCACAGCATCACAGAATGCTTTGGGCTGGAAGGGACATTCATGATCATCTAGTTCCAACAACCCTAATATATCTTGTGGTGTTCCAGTTCTTCAAAATACCTCATTTGCTTGGGGTTTATGGGCTGGTATTTATATCTCTGGTAGCAAAAGTGATAATTGTCTACAGGGGAAGAGAACAGAGCTGATACAGCAATTTTGGTACTCTGCAGACAGCCTGAAATTCTAAGAGAGATCTGTGAATTACCTTGACATTCCTGACTGGAGCATCAGCTTCAAAAGTTCAGTGATTGCACTTCAGTGTTATCAGCAACTAATTTAGCACTGATCATTTTATCTACTACTACCACAGAAGATGGGTAAGAGAAAAACACAGTGGACTGACTTTTGGGAGTTTCTGGAGATAATCCAAGAGCAGACCAGAGAAGCAGACAAGTGACAGCAAAATCAGCAAAAGAATAAGGAGGAAGAGGAATTAAAATACAGCAAAGAAGCTGGGATTATATGGAATAGATCTCTTAAGTAAAGATGAACATTATAATAAACTATTATGAGAAAATGTTACCATCTCACATTTTAGGTGTAATACAAAGACTATATTCTGTTTATCTCTGTGTAAATCGTCAAACTACATTTACTTTAGCTCCTCTTACCTGGTAGATGGTCAATGGCTGCATTCCCAGCTCAAGATCACTACCAGAGAGCAGAGGTCTGTGTCCTCCAAATGCATCTTCACAACATAGAAACTGTAAGAGGAAGATGACCAACCAGGGATTAAAATAAAAGCATGCACTTTTCCTTATTCACCTGCACTTGGGGGTTAAAGACAGGATTTTATACCATTCCTTTTGTGAATGGTATATCCATTTTAAGAGTCAATTAAATACATTGCAAAATATAGCCATTGCCAAGAAATATAGGGCTGTATTTGGTTTTATAAGCTCTCATATATATAAAGAAGACTAATACCTTAAGCAGCTCCATATCAGTTTTACCATTCTCCTTCTCTAAAATTTATTTGTTCTTTTATTTGTTTGTTTCATTTCTAGGATTTCTTTTTCCTGATGGAAAATTTGTACAGGAAGTGGAGAAATCAGTAACTGATTTAATTGATCATTTTCAGTTTATGTGGAATTTTTATTTTTTACAGATTTTCTACAATGAAGTCGACTAATGCTCTGCTTCCAGCATGGGCACTTCAAGGTCGTATTTCTTTGTTTTTCACCACAGGTCAGACATCATCACCAGGAAAAACTAATTTGAAAGCATCTTCCATCACAGGCACTCGGAAATAATGAAACGAAACAGCCAAGCAGAGTAAAAAAACCCTGTTTATTTAACCCATGAATCCTGTGCCAGCAGTGCAGAACTCTCCCCAAGCTCTGGCAGTAAGGCTTGCTAGGCAGGTAGGAAATGTGCTCCTGTGGTTTACACCTCCATAATCATTTCTCTCTTCTGCAGGACATTTCCTTCAAGCACTGGCAGCATCCAACTGTGTCTCCTTTGAGCCTTTTAGTATGTGGACGTTATTTTCTTCTATGTATTTCGGGATTTGAATACATTAAACACTGCCTTTGTTCTCTGTTGTAGGTCATGGGTTGTATGGGACTTTTGAAATGTTGTCCTCCTGGAGAAAAACTAGAGAAGACCAACACGTTAAAGAGAGGACTGCAGCTGTATTTGCAGACTCCATGCTCTCATTTTCTCTCACCACTGCCATGTACCTGGTCACTTTTGGAATAGGTGCCAGTCCCTTCACTAACATTGAAGCAGCCAGGATTTTCTGCTGCAATTCCTGTATTGCAATTTTCTTCAACTACCTCTATGTACTCTCCTTTTATGGTTCCAGCCTGGTGTTTACTGGCTACATAGAAAACAACTACCAGCATAGTATCTTCTGCAGAAAGGTACCAAAGCCAGAGGTATTGCAAGAGAAGCCTGCATGGTATAGGTTTCTTCTGACAGCCAGATTCAGTGAGGACACGGATGATTCAGAGGAAACGAACACTTACGAGAGTCATCTTTTGGTGTGGTTCCTGAAACGCTATTATTGTGACTGGATAACAAACACTTACGTCAAGCCTTTTGTAGTTCTCTTTTACCTTGTTTATATTTCCTTTGCCTTAATGGGCTACCTGCAGGTCAGTGAGGGGTCAGACCTGAGCAACATCGTAGCGACTGCGACTCGGACCATCGAGTACACAACTGCCCAGCAGAAGTATTTCAGTAACTACAGCCCGGTCATTGGGTTCTACATCTACGAGTCAATCGAGTACTGGAACACCAGTGTCCAGGAGGACGTGTTGGAGTATACCAAGGGCTTTGTGAGGATATCTTGGTTCGAAAGCTACTTAAATTACCTTAGGAAACTCAACATATCTACTGGATTGCCGAAGAAGAATTTCACTGATATGTTGAGGAACTCCTTCCTGAAGACCCCTCAGTTTGCCCATTTTTCAGAGGACATCATCTTTTCCAAGAAATACAACAATGAAGTGGATGTTGTGGCCTCCAGGATGTTCTTGGTGGCCAAGACAATGGAAACCAAGAGGGAAGAACTTTATGACCTCCTGGAGACCCTGAGGAAGCTCTCTCTCACCTCCAAGGTGAAATTCATCGTTTTCAATCCATCATTTGTGTACATGGATCGTTATGCCTCTTCAGTGGGAGCCCCCTTACAAAACTCCTGCATTAGTGCTTTATTTCTGCTCTTCTTCTCTGCATTCCTGGTGGCAGACTCTCTGATCAATGTCTGGCTCACTCTAACTGTTGCCTCGGTTGAATTTGGAGTTATAGGTTTTATGACCTTGTGGAAAGTGGAACTAGATTGTATTTCTGTGTTGTGCTTAATTTACGGAATTAATTATACAATTGACAACTGTGCTCCACTGTTATCAACCTTTGTCCTGGGCAAAGAGTTCACAAGAACTAAATGGGTAAAAAATGCCCTGGAAGTGCATGGGGTAGCTATTTTGCAGAGCTACCTCTGTTATATTGTTGGTCTGATTCCTCTTGCAGCTGTGCCTTCAAATCTGACCCGTACACTGTTCAGGTGCTTGTTTTTAATAGCATTAGTCACCTTCTTTCACTGCTTTGCCATTTTACCTGTGATACTGACTTTCCTGCCACCCTCCAAGAAGAAGAGGAAAGAGAAGAAGAATCCTGAAAACCGTGAGGAAATAGAGTGTGTTGAAATGGTGGATATGGATAGCACCCGAGTGGTTGACCAAATTACAACAGTCTAAGTTGATTTGTTGGTTGCTTTTTTACACTAGGTCTTACTGAGAAAAAAGAAAAAAAAAAAAAAGAAACCAGTACTGACTAAATGTGTGGGGTCAGGAAGATTGGAGGTTTTCCCCTCCCTCCTCTAAGCTAAATCCAGGAATATTCAAAATTATGGGAGAAATTAAAAATAAATTAAAAAAAAATAAAAAGAGCTGGGGTATTGTACCTTGCTCAGTTCCTGTAACAGGTAATATGGGAGAATTTGCACACCCATGCAAAGAGAGGTTAAATTTTAGATGCATGAAGTAAGATCTAATGGAAGGAGTTCGGTTCTTAAGCAGTCTTCTGCATCGCCTGTACTGCAGATGCTGCAATTATTGTGGCTAAACCAAATCATGTTGAAAGGTCAACTGTCAAGGCTGAAGTAGCACTAAATGTTCGCTGGATGTAAAGGCTTTACAAACTTTCTGCACAGCAATAACTCAAGTCAGTGAGTCAGCTCTTATAAGTCTTTGCCATCACATTTAATATTTCTTTTCTCCCCTAATCTAAACATTTATGCAAGACTATATTAAAGATAGCAAACTGTACTGGGAAAGAAGGCAGTACTCAGCAACCAAGTGCTTTCCAAACACCTTTATGTTATTAATCACTTTTTTTTCTAAAAGTATCATTATTTTAAAATTGAAACCATCCCTTGTAACATTTTTAATCATGGTTTTATAGCTGTTTCTTTTTCTTATAAAAACAAAAAAGAACAAAAAAAAAGAAACAAAAAAATCCATGTGACTCTGTCACTCTAGAAAATATATAATTCTATTTTATACATGTCTCGCTACTAGTTAAACATGTAATCTGCTTTACCAACTGTAATTTTGTTAGCACTCTACTAAGACATGTGAGTGGATCTAGCAGCAGACAGAAGATGGTGTACTGAATATTTCAGCACCACAATCCGTGATACAAACCTCAAATACTAAAATGTCATCAAGAAAGTGAATGTTAGGGCTCTTTTAGTGAGAGCCTATTTCAGGCCATTCACTGGTAATGCACACTAAGAGGATTAGTGGGCAGTTTTACATAATGTATAACTTAATCCCTCAATCTTCCTAGAGTACCTGTAAAGCAATAGACCTTGCAGCTATGGGCTCTTCCAGGAGGCAGTAGACAGTAAGAGTTGTGTGGAACAAACTGAAGGCTGGGACTGTGGTTTAGCAGCAGCAAGTTTAACAGTGTCCCCAAAGAGCCCATATCTAAGGGGCCTATTGAAAATATCACGTGTGAGAGGGAAAAAAAACCCAACCCAAAAAAAAACCCACCAAAAAAAACCAACTTTAAAAAAACCAACTTTAAAAAGATTACACTACCGAGTCTTTTTGGAGCCATGAGTTCTAAATCAATAATTCTGTCAGCATCTGTGATGTGGAGTAAAACGGATAAAGCAGCATCTTTTCCCTCCTCTGCCCCCTCCACCCTTGAGAGCAACAGGCTCATTACTGTAAGGTTTTATCATGTGGTTGAACCCCAGTGGGGATATGTAAGCCAATTCTGTAGGTTTTGCTGAGAATATTCTGACCATACATTGCCTGTGGAAACCCAGTAGCAGGAGGCTGGCTGGTGTGTGTCGGGTGGTTTTGTACGGACTGTTGCTTTGTGGTGCAACATGAATGTATTCCAACCAGGCTCCCTTTTGCAGCTCATCTGGAAACTAAGAGTACAAGTTTTCACCATTTGGCACAAAATTTGCTTCAATGACAGTATCTGGATGGGAAGGGATATTGCAAGAGCCATGGGGCTTGGAGCACTGGGAGCACCATGGCTCAGGAGGCTGCCTGTGGTACTGAACAGTCACTAGGACGTCTGTGCTCACAAACCAGGATGTGCTTCTTTACAGTGACACCCAAATGCCCTGTACAAAACCTGCAAATGCCACCTACTGAATATTAATTTTCAAGCAAAGAGAGATTTCTGAAGCATCCTTCCTAGCAGAAAATAAGATAACCAGATATTTTGCCCTGAAGAAAAATATTACATTCTCACTAGCAAAACAAATCAGCAGAGCAGCTGGCAACATTTACTTTCCCCTGGATAAGTCCCTTCCCTGACCAGAAGAAAGGAAGCTGTGTCCAGGAATGCACAGGCTCTTTGCTTAAGTAAATAACAGTTGCTTCAGTAGCAGCTGGGAAGCTGTAACAACAACTTCAGCCTTGGCAGAACACAGGCAGACACCTTGAAGACAGCCAGATGAATGTAAGGCTGGGAAAAAGATCTATTTCCCCTGTTTTTTTAGACTCAGGCTTGGGGCTATGTTTTCCAGCCAAAAAATATTCCTTAAATATACTTCACTGCAGATTGTCTGTGATTGTCAGTATGTTGTTTAAATACCAGTCACCCTGTCCCCTGGCTGTTCAACAGGCAGCTGCAGTGGCTTTTAAACTTCTGAGGGCATTAGCAAACTAGCTGCGAGTTACCGAGGAACTGCAATCCCTCTGCAGTGGTCTCCTGACTTGTGCGACACTTGGAAACGGGCCATGTGTCAAAGAGGTTGTTTGTACACTGCTGAGAGGAATACATGGCAAACACTGATTTTACACCTCTGCTCTCCCTCATGCTATTCACTTGCAAACACCAGGCACCAAGATAGTTACCACAAACCTCCTCACATCTAATTGCAGTGCATAGACAGGAGCATCTTTAAAGAGATGTCCAAAGACAAGCTTGCAGTTTCACAGATCTCTTATTAAATCTCACCATGTGAGGCCTTCAGAGATCTTCAAGAAAGGTGATAAAACCAGAGATAAAATTACTTCTGTATCTCCAAACCTGTCAGAAAAAGGATATGGAGGCATTCCTGTGACAAAGTGCTGCAGAAGAGGCTTGAGTGTCCACAGAAGGCAGGGTGAGAAGTCATGCAGTCCACACCCTTGCCCCCAGGGCAGAGCCACCAACAATTAAATAATTTCTGAAGGGTGTTTGTCCAGCCCATTCCTAAAAGTCTTTTCAAGGGCAGATTCCTTTCCCAGTAGTTACTCCCAATGCCATGTTACCCTCTCTAGTAACCAGTAACTCCTGCTAGCCACCCAAGATTGGGATGGAGAAGAGGAGCCGTGCCCCTGTCTACACAGGGATAGGACAAGCAGGAGACTGGAGCATCCCCAAAAGAGAGAAAACCCAGAACAGAGCCAAAACCAACTTACATACATTTTTCACCGTGTTTCACATCAAGTTGCCATTCTGTTCCCCAGCACTGGCAAGGTAGAGCCATGGAAGTGTCCAAGGTGCCCTCAGCTCAGGTCCGTGAGACTTCAGCCTGATGGGTCTGAGGGATGCACCAAATGCTCCTTCTCTGCAGATAGCTTGAATACCTCAACATGAACCACGTTCTCAAGATGTCAGACTATGCTAAGCCACTTTGGCCTTCCTCCCCTTCAACTTTTTCCTCTGGAGCAATTATCTTCACCAAAGTCAATGGACCTCTCTGCACTGCTTGATTAGTAGGTGCAGATGCAGCGCTCTGTTCTCAGTCCAAAGCACTCCCAGTGGCTAACTGTGCATGAGATTTTACCTTTATTGGTGAACCTCCAGTCTGGAAAACTACCTAGGCTTAAGCAGATTTTTGTCATACTCTTATGTGGCTTTTTAGCCCAGGTATCACTGTGGTTTTGTTTGCAATATAGATGATCCAATTTTTTATAAAGGCAGTGAGTAGAACAGAGTATTATACACTGTCAGGCACTGACTAAAATCTAACAGTGAAAATTTTAGCTAAGGCTAATAGGACTATGTAGGACTATGGCTCACTGAGCACATATATCTTCTACAAACATTAAAGTTCCCATACAGTAAGGTATGGTGTACAGTATATTTTTATTACAGGGTAAGCATGGGGAAAAAGAGCCAACCTACGTGCATATGGCCCTCAAGATCAATCCAGTTTTCTTGTAACATAACTTCTGATATTGTGTTAGCACAAGTCCATTTTCAATTTACAATTACTCTAACTGGAGAAAAAAAATAAAGAAAATTTGCTATAGCTGGAATAACTACGCCATAAACATTAATTGATGAAGGCAGAATTTCCTGCTTGTGGAAGTGTTCTAGTTAGATTAAAATTAGAGCTGAAATTGTTGAGAAAAACCTATCTGTCAAAGAAAAATAACTTCCTTTCCAAAGACAAGCAAATACACTTATTATGGTCAACTTCATGAACCTGGAGGGAATACAGTACCAAAGTGACCTGAGGTTATGTTGAGTCACGAGAGGATTCACGTCTGCTCTCAGAAGCCTTCTGAGCCAGCGCTGAATTCAGGTGAAACATGTACTGTAAATTGAAAGGTGTACTTTTAAATGTTTTTTTCTAGGCTGACTGTCCTCCTATGAGCCATGAAATCCCACATCAGCCAACACCTTTATTTTTATTCAAAGGGAAAACAAAACTAAGTGGTGGCACGACTGGGCAGAGATCAGGGGAGTCCGGGAGGAAGACTGGCTTCTCTGAAAACCAGGGAAAGCCAGCAAAACAAGTGGGTTGCGGGAGAAGACCTGGTGACTTCAAAACTTAGCAAAGTGGTGTTTTTTCCTCCTTTGTTAACTCAGAATGCAAATAGCATGTTCAGGGAGGCACGGGGAAGGAAAGCTGAGTTAGTAGGAGTCAGCTCTGGGTTTGCTGTGCACTCCAGTTACAGTCGCTCCTCTGGCATGGTTGGGAACTGTCAGCAGGAAGGGAATTGGGAGGGGCAGGGCTGACACTGCTGTGTGGGCACTGGGGATGCCATTCCAGGGATTGTGGTGGTGCCATTTCCCTTGTCCCCATCCCACAGCCCTGCCCAGTGTTCCCAGGGTGTGCGGCCTGCAGAGAGCATCAGCTGCCGTGCAGGAACAATTCCTCACACTGTGGCAGCAGTGCTGGCGGGTTTTGCTGAACCAGTGCTCTCATGATAAGGCACAAGCCCTGTAGGAAACCACTTTCTGGAAGCTCTTGCTTAGAAAGAATTACCCAGAGCATTTTCCTCCCCTTCCTTTGCACATGTTAAAATCCTGATGCATAAAAATCAGATTGTACAATTTAGCTATGTAGGGACAAAGTATTTCTTCCATGGCTTTATCCCTACATTTATCACTAAAAGTACTTATCATTCATTTTCTTATAAACATTGTGAAATAAGTAAGCCTTTCCGGGGTACACACAAGTCTGATGAGAAGGAGGTGGGGAGAGCCCCTTCCCTTTCCCAAAGGTAGGAAGCATCTTCCACCCATGGCCAGGCACTACACCATAGCTGCAGGGTACCCCTAGTGACCCCAGCTCAGTGCAGTGCGGAGGGCAACCTTATTCCCCCTTCCTAATCTTATTAGAGAACAGGGAGAAGCTTTAACCCCAAACTGTGGGGGGAGATAGGCCCCCAGGATGCCCTTGTGAAACCCATCCACTGCCAGGAAAGCGCAGCGGCGAACTTCTTGTTTGGTTGGGTTTTTTGAGAAAAAGGTGGCAAAAGTATCCCAGGAGGGCATTTGAACACAAATTCCTGTCCAT